ATAGAACTTTTTTTTTTAAACTCAATACCGAATTATTTGAAACCTTTGCACTTGAGTACGGAGGTCCTGAGGAAGGTCTTGACACTCGGTGAAATTTCCATTATCGAAAAGAATTATTATTTTTTTTTTTCTATCTTGTCCGGGAGAGGTACAATTTTTTTTCTTGGTTTTAATTGAGTTTGGAGATGTTTTATAAATGTTTAGAATTTTTGGTACATATATGAGACTTTGTTAAAAGCTTAAATTTATGTAGCGTCCTGGAGGATCTAATGGGTATAAGAGGTCGGTTCCAGAGTTCGGTTTCGAAAAGAATTATTATTTTTTTTTTGATCTTGTCTTGGAGAGGTACAATTTTTTTCTTGGTTTTAATTGAGTTTGGAGATGTTTTATAAATGTTTAGAATTTTTTGTACATATATGAGACTTTGTTAAGGGCTTAAATTTATGTAGCGTCCTGGAGGATCTAATGGGTATAAGAGGTCGGTTCCAGAGTTCGGTACCCCGACGTATGGAAAAATTCGCATGGGGAGGGAGAGAGGGGGGAACGAAAAGGTCGTAAACTGCGGAAACCGCGGCAAAATGGATCGCCGCGTGTCGCGATCCTCGCGGAAAGGCCGCGCCAGCGAGAAGGGGTAAGGGAGTTTGTTAAACTTGGCTTTCAGGGATGAGACTTACGGCTTCCCCCGAGTTCACCTCCCCTCCGGAAGCGAGGAGGGGGTTCGATCGAGCCGGTGCGTCTATTCCGCCTTGCGGCTTCCCCGGCGCCCTTGACTTTCCGCCTTGACTCCCGTCGGGCCTCGGTAGTCCGCAAAGAATGTCCGCAGAGCGGACGATATCGGGAGGACGAAGCAGGAGGTAGACAGATAAAAAGAGAGGCGAGAGGAGTCCTGCGTAACGCGTCTCGTCTGCGGAAGGTTTCTACTTTCCGCTGTCTTTCTTTTTTTTTTATCTTTTCCTGCCGATGGCTTTTTTCTCTCTTTTTTTTTGACCTCCGTCGCGCGTTTCTTTTCCGCTTTGCGTGCTCGCCGCGGCCGATTACGCCGGTCGTTGTTCGCGTCGCCCGTCGTTTCCCGGCGCGCTCCAATTTCGCTGGCGGTTTCGCACCGTCGGGCCCTCCTCTCTATTTCCTTTTTTTTTTCTTTCCCCACCTTTCTTTCTTTCCTTCCTTTATTTTCCGCCTCGGCGAATTACCAATCGCACGGCTCTAAATATACGCCTTATCGGCCGGGGGGAGATAGCGCTCCTCGTGCGGGTCCTAGCTAATCTGCCCGGGCGACGGTTTCGCGTTATCGCCTCCCGGTCGGGCGTGCAATTATCAGGACACCCTCCACCTAGAAGAGGGCCTCCGAAACGTCAGACTTTTTGCCTCGCCGACCGCGGAATGTGTATTCCCCGCCTCGGGTTTAATCGACCCGCTTCGATTCCGCTCTGTTCCCCTCGGATCGGCCGATTTAACGCGGAGCAACCCGACGGGGGGAAAAAGAACCGCCGCGCGGAAGTTACGCGCGGGAAACTCCCCGGCGGACGATTGCCGCGTGAAATTTTCCGGAGTTTCGAGGTGCGACCGACGGAACTATGCGGAATAATCGCGGGATTTCGGCCCGCGGACGTTTCTGCACTCGCGTTGGCAACTAATTCATGGGTGCGGGTTATTTCGACCGCGTGCGGCACGTCTTTCCGGTGCGGATGGGTAATGGGCGCGGAGGCTCCTATAATGAGGGAGAATGTGCTCCGGAAGTTTCCGCACCAGGGGGTCCGATCGGATTGAATTAATCGGAACTATCGCCAGGAGGAAGGGCCACCCGGGGCTCGAGGTGGACGCGCCGAGGTTCTTTCCGCGGGCGGAGGCCTCGCGGCCGTTCCAAATTTCTCGCATCTCGCGGATTCTTGGCAGGAGATTCCGCTCGCCCGAAATAGGGCCCGGGGTCGACCTTAACGCGGAAGAAACGCAACCTCGTCCCGGTAATTTCCTATACCCGGTCGACATGTCGGGTGTTACCCCCTTGTCTTCTTATTTTTATTTTCTTTTTTTTTTACTTCTTTCCCCCCCGATTTAAGTCACGCGTTTCCGGAGGGAAAGGGAGAGAGAGAGAGAGAGAGAAACGCGAGGAGGCGAAACGCGGTCTCGGCCGAGCGGTCTCGCGGTCGTAAAAGTGGGAGAAAATGGGAAGAAAGTGAAGTGGGGAGGCGGGAAAAAAAAGCGGGAGAGAGAGAAGAAAGAAGGAAGGAAGGAAAGAAAAAAAAGAGAGAAACGCTCGTGGACTTTTCTCGGCAAATTGGCCGGTCGCGGGTCGCGCCCCTTCCGGAAGTTCCGCGGGGAAACGGCCGCTTTCGGCGACACCGCGGCGACCCGTGTCTTCGACCTCGTTCGGGTTCGACTGTCGTTGTTCCGCGAACAATTCTCGATTACCCGGGACGATCTCGCTTTGGCCATTAAACCCGGAAAATCGAGCGGAAAGAGGCGACCGCAAGAATTGGCCGCGCCCTCGATTGCCCCAAAGCGTGCGGCCTGGACGCGGATTTTTCTCAGTGTCCGCCGATTAATCCCGCGGCCTTGACCCTGGCCTTGGTCTCGAGATCCTGAACCTAGGTCAGGGCCTCCTCTCGACGATAATGTCCGACGGAATTCCCTAGGGGAAAAAAAAAAAAAGAAAGAGTCGTTTAGCCGGAACTCCCCCAGGAAAAAGGAAGGGCGAGAGGTCCAACCGCAGCCGTGGGGTCCCCCTTTTGTTCCCGCTCTTTCTCCGGGATCGTCGTCTCTCGCGGGTTAGACCTCTTTTCTCGCTTTCCTTTTGTTTCTTTCCGGGATCCGGGTTAAATCTCCGCGCCCTGGCCCGCGCTGCACCAGCGGTGGCGGATTCGGTCCGGGAACGAGGAACCGTTCCTCTTGGTGCCGGGTGCCATTGAGGGGGAATTTTCGTCACGGGGCCAATCCCTGGGACGAATCTCTCCTCTTGCTCCCTCTCCCTCTTTCTCTCTCCTTCGTTTTTCCGGCCCCTTTCTCTCGCCCCGTAGAAAGGCTTCCCGATTCGCGACGTTCCGGGGACGGGTCGCCGAGTCCTCCTTTGTCCGGACCCTCGTTTTTCCTCCCCCGGGTAGACAGGATGCACTTTTTGCGCGGGGAAGGATCGTAAAACGGGAAATAATGACATGTCGCGGCTGATATCCCACTTTTATTTATCTATTTGTTTATTTTCCTTTCTTCCCCCCGGGGAGGTGAAAGGCTCGAGGGAAAGCTCGCCCGGGAGGTCCTGGAAAATCCAGGCATGTCTTGGCAATTTCCCTCCTTTCCTGACTTTCCCCTCTTAGAGACCCGTGGAGTCCTCCAGGAGTCGAGGAGAGTCGAAGAGCCCGCGAGAGCGAGATCCTGACACGTGGAAATCGGGACCGAGGGAGGAGACCTTTAAACCTTCGGGAATCCTCCGGTCGGGGAATCGCCTCGCAATTTTCCTCATTTTCTTCCCCCCGAGGAGCTCGTGCCGCATCGGGCGACCCTCCGGACGTCTTAATCCTCGCGGCCACGTCGATTTAAGCACCGCGGGCGTAAACGAGTTCGATCCCTCCGGTCCGGTATGCCGGGAACGTACTCCGGATTAGCGGCGTCCTCTTCTTTCTCGCCCTCGGGTGCATCCAGCCTCTCTCTCCCTCTCTCTTTACCGCGGTCGTAAGGTTAAGGCGACGGCGCGGATTAGGTGGCCGGCCGAAAAAAAGTCCAGGCCCGATCGACCGTCTATCGTGATTTCCTGCAACTACTCACTTCCCCGGGAAGTGGGAGCACTTCCTGGGGAATCCGTCCTTATTGGACGAGTATCGCGCGTCGTACCCCCCGCGACGTGTCGGGAGGTAAGAGGCGATTCCTCGGGAGGCGTCGGTGGCGTCGGGACGTGCCTCGACAACGGAGTCTCCCGATTTACCGGAGTCTCCCCGGACAGGGCAGATTGCGCCGCGAGGTGGATATCCCCGCGATTAGGATCACTCCTGTCACCGGGTGGATCGCCCGAGCCAATCACGAGGGGGATCAAGGGCCGCCCAGGTGGAGTGGCTAATATCTCGAGGGGACATCTCGTCTCCGGCGAGGATCAGCCGATTAGGCCCCTTGATCCCCCGGGGGTGTTCGACTCCCCTGGAAGTCGTTCCCGACGATCGCTTCTGGCAGCCTCCGGACGAGCCGAGAGACCCGGGATATGAAAAAAAGGGTTGAAGGGAATATATGCGCGGACTCCGGGGGAATTTTTTTTTCTTTTTCTTTTTCTTTTCTTTAAGGACTCCTTAGGGGGAGGATCGTTCTCTACTTTATTATTGGGGATCCCCCGCGAGGAATTTCAATGCCCGAGGAGATGCCGCGGGGTCCTCGGATCTTTCATCCCTCGGTGAATTTTTTCCTTCCCGCTCTTTCGATTTTTATCCTCTCCTCTTCTTTTTCCTTTTACTTCCTCGGCTCGACTTTCACGTGGGCGACATCAGTTCCTTCGCGGGCGCGAGAGGGGGATTTTTTATTTTCCGTCACGCCGAGGAAACGGATTCCCCCGGCGGGACGCGAGAAGGATGCCGGAGATGACGGGAGAAGGGACGCTTCTCGCCGCGAGTCCTTAGGCCGCGGTTTCCGCGTCCGGGGTGCCCGCTGGAGGGAAATCCTCCCGATGAAAGTTGTTCCCCGGACCACGGGGAAGATGTTTCCTCCGGGGCTTTTTCCCGTGTCGCGGGTATTTAAGCCCGAGGAGGGGGGTTTTTGCCGAGGCTCCGTGAGAATCGCCCCAGAAGAGCGACCGACTCGGTCGCGCAACCCCTGGGGGCGGTCTCCTCGTGGCCGGCCTTTATGCCCGACTTTTCGCGATAACCATAATGGCCACTTTTGCGAGGCGATGCGTGCCATTTAACCGCCGGTCTATTTCGCAGGCGCGGGATATATTCCGCGGTTAATTTCTCAGAGTATCCGGTTAAAGGACAGGGGAGGCGGAAAAGGGATAGGGTCTCTTGGTCGCGAGGGAATGAAACACGGAATTCGACATCTAGGTGGATTTATTCGGCCCGGTCGCGTTTGTAGCTCCTCTCGTTGACTGCCAGGGTCGCGATGCCCTCTCGGAGACTCAGAACAATCTCCTCTGCTGGGGTACGTCGGGTACCTGGTCCAGTCGGAAGAGAGGCAAGCGGTGGCGTCTTCGCAGGAGGCGACGAGCCAGCGGGATCCTCCATATCGCCGGAAATATCGGATCCAGGACGGAAGTCGGTACCAGAAGCTGGGGGGCAGCGGGTTCAATAGGTCGCAGGTTCAGGAACGCCGTGAAGAGGATCGCGGCGAAGACCATTGGCAATTTCGACATGGCCAGACGTCCTTGGAAGTTAATTTCTGAAGATGTTCCTTTTTTTCCCTTTTTTTTTTTTCACCTCGTTACGTGGGACTTCACCGGGGAATTGACTTTGAACGAAGATCTACTTATCCTTTTACGAAGCTAGCTGTCGGCGGCGATTGGTCCTGGGGACCGATCGGCGAGTCCTGAGGGATCCCTTCCTCGGGGTTAGTTGTAGGTGGGCGAGTTGACGTTCGTGTCGACCTTCAGGACAGGCGGGGGACCGTCCTGGATCCTCTTGATGACGGACGAGAGGACGCCCGAGTACGGTCGTGGCGTAGTAGTCGTGGGTGGAGGTGGTGGAGGTGGTGGAGGTGGTGGAGGAGGCGAAGGTGGCGAAGGTGGCGGAGGTGGCGGAGGTAACCGATACGACGGTGGCGGAGGTGGCGGATACGACGGTGGCGGAGGTAGCCGATACGACGGTAGCGGAGGTGGCGTTGCTAGCTGATACGACGGTGGCGGAGGTAGCTGATACGACGGTGGCGGAGGTAGCTGATACGACGGTGGCGGAGGTAGCTGATACGACGGTGGCGGAGGTGGCGGTGGGTACAGCGGGTACGAGACGGGACGGTACACCGGGGGTGGTGGGTCGTATCGAGTACCTGGCTCCTCGGGTTTCACCAGGGTGACGGGTACGGTAGCCTCCGAGATGCAGACGACCACGACCAGGAAGACGCCCAGTCCGAACATGGCGCGCTTCTCCATGATGTGTCCCGCAGGTTCTCACCTAATGAGGAGCCCCCCGGCTCGGTCGCTTTTTTAAGCCGCTATCCCGGTGGTAGGGGGCCACGACGGCTGCGAAAGACGCGCTTCCTGGTTAGATTGTCCTACCGGGGAATTAATTCCGCGCCTCGGCCTCGCGATTTACCTCCTCCTTTCCCCCTTTCTTCCGAAAAAGCCGTGCGTGGCCGCGACAATGCTGTCTCGCGCGGAACCTCCGTCCGACAGGAGCGGCCTTATCAGCACGTGCTCGAGACCGGGAATTATCATTAAATAGGGAAAAGCTATCACTGGAGCGTGAGGAGGAATTTTTCCTTTTTTTTTTCCCCGCGACGTATCCAGGCCCGAAAACCCGATCCGCGTCAGGGTATACTCGGTGCGTGATTCTTCCTCCGCCATCTTGGCTCGCCAGGATATCTTCCTAATCGATGAATATTTTTTCATATTTTTTTTTTTCCCCTTATGCGAAATATTCGACGCGTAACTTACAGTGACGCGTGCCCTGACCGCGCGTCTCGCTGACGCCGTGACAGTCGACGCCGCGTTTAAAAAACGCCGTTCTCCGCAGAATCGCGTTACGTAAGCTTCCTCCACTCGAGGAGAGAATTTTTCTCTTTATTTTTTTCTTTTGCGCAAATTCCTTCGACCCAGATCTACCCACGGTGACCTAGACCGCTGGATTTTTTCTGCTTTCAGGAGGCCCCGAGGAAGATCCTGAGGGTTGACCCTTCCGCGGATCGGGGCTTTCACCAGGAAGACTGAACGGCGCATTCCAGAGGAAAAAAGGTGCAGGACACGGTGACCAGTTTTTCATTTAACTTTTCTAAGGACTCGAGGAGGACCTGCCAGTTCCTATTCCCGGGACGGTTCCCTGTCCCCGCTACCTCGGCGACCAGGAACTCTGGCCGAGGAGGGATGTCCCTCGAGCGGGTCGAAGGACGAAGGTGTGCGTTCCGACCTCCGGACATCCAGAGGTAGCGGCCGTTCGGAGGACTCTATCGTTGGGTATCTGCCATCGGAGGGGTCAGGACGGGAAGTCGGGGTTCCCGGGAGAGATGGTCGCGAGTCAGGCCCAGGACTCGCCGAGGCCAGGAACGAGGGTGGACTCGACGCCCGGGAACGGAGGTCCTTGAGCCAGGGATCGGAGGGAGTCGCCGAGCGAGAGGAGAACGCGTGGGCGGACGACCCGGACCGCCTGAAGGAGGGCGAATCCGAGGAATCATCTCCTGGAAGGTCGGACCTAGAGAGAGGAGGAGAGGGTCGCGGGCTCTACCGGAGGCTAGGAGGCGCCGGACGGTCCCCTCCGGAGCTCGGGTCGGCTCGGGCCCGGGTACGTCGACAGGAGGCCGCGAGGAAGCTCAAGTGCTCGCCGCCGCCGCCGGATGAGACTCCGGTCCAGAGATCATCTTCGCTCGCTTCGATCCCAGATAAGCGCGGGTCACTCGATAAGGCCCATGCCCGGTTTCCCGGGGCGGGGCCGACGCATCGGCCGACTTCGCGGCCGGCCGCGACGCCGACACCACCGGCTGCAGTGAACTGCCGAGTTGCACATTTCGCGGATGCCCGGGACGCGGCCCAGGGTGGGGATGGACGTCGACGGCGGTGCGAGGCCCCGAATCCGCGGATTCGCCAGTTCGACGTAGCGACCGAGACGCTGAGAGGGCCCGTTTACCGGGATGTCCGGGAAGACGCCGAGGAGGCCCCTCGAGGGGGGCCCGACGACCTAGAGGACCTCGACCGCGGCCAGCGGAGAGGACCTTCCCCCGAGAACATCTGCCGACGAGGCGCGACGCGACTTGGACTCGATCCCGGAGGAGAGACCTGGACCACCCTTACCGCGAGTGGAGAACGAGGTCTTCGAGGGCCCCGAGTGGAAGAGGAGGCCCCTCGGAGACTCGAGGAGGGGAGCTCCGTGGACGATAGCGAGGGCGGGGGAGACCGGGAGAGCCCCTCTCAGGTGGGGGTGTTCTCGCTCGGGGCCCGTTGCGGTGGGCCTCCGACCGGAGGAGAGGCCCCTTTCGAGGTTCGTTCCCCGGTCCCGATTTACCCACGACCCTCGGGGGTGGATCGATCCCCCGGGGTCACCGAGGTCCGGGACCTCCGGGTTTCGAGGGGCACCGACTCGTCCCCACTTTTGAGAAGTACCCCCTGTCAGGGGTCCACTTCCAAGGAACTCCCGCGCAGGAAGGACCCTTCCGGCAAGTTCCTCGGGTCCTGTCGCAGGAAGTCGCGGAAGGACCTCGAGATGAAGCTGAAGATCAGGATGGTCAGGATCAGGGAGAGGCTGATCCTGGCCGTGAGCGCCTTCGCCATCCTCTTCACCCTGCTGCTGGTGGTCGACCTGCAGATGGACCTCGGCTACAGCGGTCACCACCTGGTCCCCAGCCACGGCAGGGTCCGGCTGGGCGACGAGCCCGGCCAGGACACCGTCTACAACAACTTCCGCAGGAAGTTCCTGCAGCGGGCCAACGGCAGCCGGGAGACCTCCGGCAGCGAAGCCGCCGGCAGCACCCAGGGTCCCAGGGATCCCGTGGGAACCCCCCCGAGGAAGACCCTGGCCACCGAGAAGCCCGTCCCGCGAGACGATTTCGCCGACCTGATCGAGTTCGTCGTCGGGGGCGACGGGGTCAACGCCGAGGACGGCGTCGTCAGGATCAGCGGGGAGGACCACTCCGACAACCCCACCTTGGGGGAGCTGAAGAAGATCCGGAACCGGTGAGTCGACCTTCCCAGTATCAAAATCGAAATTACGCCCGGTCTTACAAGAGAGAGACCCCCCTCGTTGCTCCCTTCCCCTCCCCCGTCGACCCTTCGACGAGGGGATGAATGCAATTTGCGCGATTTGAATGCAAATCTAATGCAGATTCTCGGGAAAATGGGAGCTTCCGAGAGGACCGGAGGAGTCTCGCGAAAGAGGGTGAGGGGTGTTTTCTCGCCGATTAGCTACTCGAGGGGGATATTGGAATAATATTTGTATCCCCGGCGAGAGTGGGGACTCCGGGATTATTATGCTCCCTCGGCCGATATCGGAAGTCAAGAATCCACGTTTTAAATCGCCGCGGACGAGCTTTGCGACGCCGCTCTCTCCGCGATGAACAAGGCGGCGGAGGTCGCGATAACGATAAGTGGCCAACCGTTATTCAGGGAATTGGCGTAATCGAGGACGCCATCGTGGCCGCCGATCCGGCGAGAGCCTCGCGATAAGCGATAGGACGGTATCTTGACGGCCGCCATCTTGGTCCCCGTTTCCTAAACCGAATGCCGATTACGCGACATAACGAGTAATCGCTCGATGTTAGGTGGAGGCGCGACCGGCCGCCATCTTGGTCCCCGTTTTCGAAACCGAATATGGATTACGCGACATAAATAGTAATCGCTCAAAGGGTGGAGGGATAAATTGCTCGAGGTTAGGTGGAGGCGCGACCGGCCTCCATCTTGGTTCCCGTTTCCTAAACCGAATATTGATTACGCGACATAATCAGTAATCGCTCAAAGGGTGGAGGGATAAATCGCTCGAGGTTAGCCGGAGGCGCGAGCGGCCGCCATCTTGGTCGGGGAAACAGTACGCCGGTTGTTCCGCGCGTGTCGAACGCGCGTTCTTCTCGCGGGCTCCTCGGGGGATGCACCGGCGTCTGGGGAGTACACCATTGTTTCGAGGACACACGAGCTCTCACAATGGCGGTAATGTCCTATTCCAGGGGAATATCCTGAATAGAGGGTAGATAGGGCTCTGCCTCCCTCTCGGTCGCGCGCGCGCGGGCTCCGGAATTATTCAACCGAGCCTCCCGATCGCGCCGCCGAGGGGCGCCCCGGCGTTTCCAAGATGGCGGCGAGGCGCTTAACCCAACCCACAGGGTTTCGGGGAGTTAGGAGCCGAGGAGAGGAGAGGGACCATGACGGGAAATAAGGGGCGAGCGCCGCAGCCATGCCGAGAGTTTGTTGATTCTTCGTCCGTGGCCGGATTCCCCGCGAATTTCCCGCGAATTTCCCGCGAATTTCCCTCGCCGGGGAGAGGACCCTGGTACGTGTCGCGAGTTGCGTTTCAATTTGCGCCCGGGAGGATCGGGGGGGGGGGGGGGGCGTCTTAATTCGCGCGACACTACGGATTTGCGGGGATCTGCAACTCGACGAATCTCGACATCCGGGGAGGGACAGGGTTGAGCTGATTGTAATCATTTCATTTATAACCCGATTAATGTCAATTGATTTTCATTTCCTTTCAATCCGCGCCTTTTATTTTTTTTTTATTTTTTTTTTTCCTTAACAGTCCTAGTATATTGCGCACGAAATCGGAACTGTCGGATCGTCGCTCGTATGATCTCGAATTGAGCAATCAAATTATAAGAATTTTTCTGTAAAAGCTTGTTTAAATACTCAAGATGTTAGGCAAAAATGGTGACTTATATCGTGATTTAGAAACGAGTCGGCGATTTTTGATTTTCTTGAAAGAAATCATGAGTTTCATTTTCTTGAATGAAAACATGATTATTGATTTTCTTGAATGAAATCCTGATTTTCATTTTCTTGAATGAAATCATGATTTTTCATTTTCTCGAATAAAATCATTTTTCATTTTCTTGAATGAAATCATTTTTCATTTTCTTGAATGAAATCCTGATTTTTTTAATTTCCTCGAAAGAAATCATGATTTTTCCATTTTTTAAAGAAATCATGATTCTTATCAACCCTGCCAGGGGGAAGTTTGTCGCCGTCCCCGATTGTCGCGACTCGCGACTCGCACGGTGGAAACGCTCGCGTCGCCTATTAGACGCGGTGAAAGGTGTAATGGAAAGTCAACGAGTCGAACGAATTTATTAGCGGACAGACGGATGTACGACATGCGACTAATTGAAGTTCCCCCCCTCTCCCCCCTGGGCTGGACCCGACTCGTCGTTGCGTAGCTTTTCCTCCGGCCGAGCGGCGTTTCCGGCGCGGTCGACCTTGGTCGCGCGTAATCGCGAACTATGACCGGAAAAATCGCGTAAGGAGGTTGGGGGTNGGGTGGATATTCTATCAATATCTGACCCATTGCGCGCGCCTCGAGCTCCCGTCGGCTGCGAATATCTTGCGGGGCGATTGCGGAACCGCCGCCCACCGAATCATTCGAACCTTTAACACGTGATTATATATTTTATGAGACTTTTGAATCATTTTTCTATTTATTTTATTTTTATAGGACACTTTCGTATCACCTTAAGGGCGCGTCCTCGCCATGTTTCGAAACGTGACTCAACCTATATTTATACTCGGGGGGAATAAAAAAGGGAAATATGCACGGAGGAAGGAACACCCGTTCCTTTCGGGGGATTCTTATCTCGGGACGGGACGGCGAGATGGGGCGATTCCGCCCGAGGACGCGGAGATGCACTCGCGGGTGGGAAACGGCCATTCCGCCCGGTCTCGGCCGGTTCTTTACTATCATCATTTGTAATTCCCATTGCGTGGTGGAGGGGCCTTGTTTACGGCTCGTCCCGACGGCCGCTTCGTCACCGGGAACGAGAATCGTCCTTGTCGCGCGAGTCCTCCGCCGCGTCTCCGCCGGAAGCGATATCGTACCCGCGAGTCGAGCCGCGCGGTGTCCCGGAGGCCTCGTAAAAAATTGTTAAAGGGTTAGTCGGGAGGCGCCTACGCGGATCGGGATGCCGTAGCCGAAGGCGATTTTCCGCTCGGTCCGTATTTTCCGCGACGATTCCGCGAGGCTCGTAAAGGACGCTTTAAGGGGGCCTCGTAACCGCCCGGCACTTATTACCGTCCCCGGAAACGGGAGTTAAGATACAGCCGGACGCCGCGGGACGTCGCGAATCGCCGTGAGGGAGTTGTCTCTCGCCTCTCCGCTCTTTTCCGGCTCCCTCGGGACTCTTACGCGGGAGGAGAGATACCGGGATTTACGACGCGTTACCGCGACGGGAGTCCCCCCCTCGCCTCCCTCGAGGGTTCCCCCTCGACTGCTGAGGGCGCGCCCTCCGCTCGCGTGCCGATGCACCTACCGATGCAGTCACGTGACGCCGGGCCGAGGTGGTGGGGGAGACCACGTGGGATGCGGGCGAGACTATAAATACCGGGGAAAAATCGACGGACCTGCCATTCGGTCGGCGGGACGCCGACGGGGTGGGCCTACCCGGGATCGCGGCCGCCGGGATTAATCGGCGGATTAATCGCCGGATTAATCGGCGGTTTAACGCGCGGTCGCGTCCTCCGCGCCGATGACGCGTGCAACTCCGCTGCGCGCCACGCGACGTTTCGGAGAAAGTGTCGCGCGCGACTCTCCAATTGCGCTCTCTAAATTCTCTCTATTAACTTTTCCACGCTCCGACGGGACGACGCGACCGTTTCCTCCTTTTAATCCTATTTATGATCTCCGGCGTCGTCCGAGCCAGGTCTCCCCGCGCAATGGTCGCGGCTCTAATTGGTAATTGCCGGATTCGTCTCGACGGCGACGCGACCAAAAAGGGTTAAGGGTAAGAGGTCCGACTTCGGACCTCTCTCCTTGAACTTCCCCGCGTTAATTAGAGGATCGCCGTCGCGAGACTTCCAGGGGGAGGACACTCGACGAGAATTTTAATCGATCCCCGCGAGTCGACCCTTTCGACGGAGCTCGGCGGAGCGGCAACTTCTTTCGGATTCGCCCGTGTTTCGATAAAGTTTCCTCTCCTCGGCGAGGGATGCAAATCTAAAGGCTCCGAGGGAGGTCGGTCGTCGCCGCTCCGAGGGCAAAAGGTCTCCTAGGAACGTCGGATGACGTTAACATCGATTCCCCCCTCTATTTTACAACTTCACCCTGAGATGAAATATCAACCGAAACAAATTTACATCGTTGCCCATACATCATTGCAAGAGACAATTATTTCCTCGGGAAGAATAAAAAACGATATTCTTGATTCAATTGAATTTTCTTCACTCCGACATTTCCTTGGACGCGTTTGCTTCGATCGAGGATTTCATTCCAGTCATGGAAATTTCATCGGGTCAATGAACATTTTTCTTTTTGTATGCTATCTTTTTTTTTTAGCAGTAACGCGTACTATATTAGGTTAGTGCCATAAGTTCCTGGGTTTCATTGTAACCAATTTTCCCAATTACGCCCCAATGTTTATCACCCGAGCGCAGAGGGTGGAGTCGGAACTCGAGGTACCCTCCGGCGGGTAATTTGCAAAAACGACGTCGGCTCGTCATCGGGTCTACGGGGAGAATCACGGTAGAATGACGACGCATCGACTGCCGTTGACATAACGGATTGCGGTGCCGCAATGCGTACCCGCCCTAGCCGGCCGGCGGCATAATGCGTGCACCTTTGCGTGCAAACTCCCGCGCACGCGTGCACACACTCGGCTCGGTGGCGTTCGCGATTATTACGAAGGATCGGCTACGCGTAAACCGGGGTGGGGGGGGGGACACCTACGTCACATCCAGGAGACGGACGGGAAAAAGTAATTGCCGACTATCCGATTTTACGCGGGGGATAAATTCAATGGACCGGCCGCCGCGGTAATAAAGCCGCACCGAGTGCACGTACATACGAGGAGGGGTACACCGCGAACAACGCCCTCCCCCCCCCCCCCTTCCCCTCTCGATCTCTCGCGTACGCAATTGCGGAAAATCGCGTCTCCGAGGCCCGTTTCGCGCTTATTGTCGCCAGGTCGCGGGATCGTCACGTGACACGCGGTGCGCAATTGTCATCGGCCCCGCGCGTATTTATACAGTCATGCGGCCCGATC